ACATTCCTTAAGAGCGCATGCAATTTGATACAAGGCAAATAAGCCTTTTGGACCCCAATTTCCCCTTCAGGTTAGAGAGCAGTAATAGGTAATCTGATGTAGTTGATATAATTAAGGCTGATACTGCAATTAATGGTGTTCTGTAAAGTCTGGCCTCTCATTCAAAGATCTTGAATTACTAATGATAAACATGAAAGTATCATGTTCTCTGTTTATAAGTTGATGACAATAGACATGGTCCAATTAAATTTAATTTTAAAAGGCTAATAAACAATAAGCATAATTTTCACAGTTGGGTAGGTATATTTTTCTATAGTGAAATCATGAGAAATAAACCCTGGTTTTTTCATCTATCATTTTTCTAACTTTGGGCGAGTTTCTTAAGTCTCGTCTTATTTCCTCATCTATAAAATAGGATATTGTAGTACTTATGTAGGATTAAATAAGACAATATTTACAAAGTGCTTAGAGCAGTGCCTAGCATATAGTAGTTCCCAATAAATATCAGCTCTTATTAACTAAAGGGATTGAAATGGTTTTAATTGTCCTCAGATGGCCCAGTTAATCCAATGGAAGGAATATGTGCTGAAGGAGTGTGGACACTTAGAAGGAAAGAGAAGTCCCAGAAGAGTATATGACCGCTGGGAAATAACCTGAGAGAATATAATTTCTATTCAGGGAGAAAAGAGATTGGAAGATATAAAAAAATGATGCCATACAAGATCAGGTCTCTTAGAACAAAAGAGGGAGAAGGCAGAGAAGAAGAAAAATGATGTCTTAAATCAGTTTAGAAGCCAGTGGCAGTTTTGGGAGTTTGTGATCTAAATTTTAAACACACTAGCGGTTTAAGTTGCCTTTTAATAAGATGAACTCACAGATATATTAGAGCAGCCTCAGCCATATGATTTTAATAAACGCTTCAATTTTGTTTTAGCCATGTAACAAGCTGGTTGTATTTTCTAATAAAAATACACTTGTTGGCATTTTCCTGAGGAACTTTTATCTCATTTCAAAGACATGTAAGCTCAGTTCACGGGGGAAACATCTGTGCTGTGGTTTGCCTCTTTTGTCCTCTTGTGGAAATGTTACACTGAAGGGAAACCATTAAAATAGCAATAAGAAATCAACTTACATTTAGCATCAAATACAGATCCAAGATTAATAACAGGCTGGTATTTTCTGCTTCACTGAGAGTCACTGCAAGACTGAAAAATATGGCCGTGTTATATGTGTCTTTAGAAAGAGTTACCGAGGAATCTAAAAAAGCCAATGTTAGAAGTAATTTGTTGGCTTCCTGACACATCAAGCTCATTATTGTGATCTGAATATCAGCCTTTGGTGCTATTTGCAACTTTTCGGTAGGTCATTAATGAAGTCCAGAAAAAAGAGTGATTATGAAATCAGTCTTTGAGGTTATTCACACATTCTTAATGCTGATGTTATTGGGTGAGTAATTTGTGTTTGAATGTACAGAAATCATAAAGCAGCCAGCCTTGATAAATGGAGGACAGCTTGGGTAGTCATCCCAAAATATACCCGACCTTCCAAATGCAAGGATTATTGACCACAGCTGTAGACATGTTCTTATGACAGTCTTAGGCGAGTGATATAAATTGGACACATAGGTATGAGGAAAAATTTTATGTTCTAGGTAAGATTTTACCAATTTTCCAAGAAAACTCTCAAAATCAAGCAGCGAAAAATCAATACACAGTGTTCATGATAGAAAGTATCTAAATAAAAAAATTAAATAGATTCTTTTCTTCCCCTTAGGTTATATTTGTTTAAAATATGTTTTCCAAACACAAGTATACAATGATTTTATGATTTCTCACAGAACTAGTAGTCCTACTCTTTGATCCAGCAATCACACTACTGGGCATTTACCCAAAGGAAAAGAGTCATTTTATCAAAAGGACACCTGCACTTGAATGTTTATTGCAGCACAATTCACAATTGCAAAGATACGGAATCAACCCAAGTGCACATCAGTTCACGAGTGGATTAGCAAAACGTGGTATACGTATACCATGGAATATTACTCAGCCATAAAAAGGATGAATTAATGCCTTTTGCAGCAATTTGGAAGGAACTGGGGACCATTATCCTAAGCGAAGTATCTCAAGAACGGAAAAATGAACATCACATGTACTCTCTAATAAAATGGATCTTAAATCAGTGAATTTTTGATATGCTCCTGGTTCTGGCTAGAGTGCAGGAGTAAAGGGGAGCAGTTCAGAAAGAAAGGTGCTAAAGCCTTTGGCAATTAGCCCATGAGTTCTCCTTCAATAGGGCCTCTGTCAGTAGGAATCAACATGAGGCTTGCTAGCTGACCACTGCAGCAGCCTCAGTCTGTTTCCAATTGGAAAGAATAACACTGGTTATTTTTATTTATGGAAAGCATTTCCCACATTGATGGCACAACAAGGCTACCACAATCTTTTCTATGTTCTTTTCTTGAATGCTTAAGACTTGTAAAAACATTTGGGAATGTATTTGGCATGTTCAGAATAATCAAATATTACAAATATATGGAGTCTTGAGAGGTTTTAGCTACATTTCCACTCAGAACAGTTATCGTGGACAGATGAGAAATGCTATTCTTGTTTTCATTTTTTTTCGCAGCAAATTAGGTTGAACAGAGAACTACAGGGTTTACTTTACCATTTTAACAGTGACATCAAGTATTTTTACGGACCTGTTAAACAGGCCTACAAATAGTCTCAATAGTCATTTGGTACAGTCTGCTATCTTCAGGCAGGTGATGTTTGATTCCTCTGTGAAGGTTAAATTATACTGATACTTATCATACTGATAAGCCACATTTGAACATGTTTCATTATTACATCAATTCAGCTGGAGCACGGATCAGACATGCACATTTAATAAAAGACTGAAAAAATGCGTAGTTATTCTAATTGTAAGTACAAATCTAGTCTTTGTTCTAATGAGGAGTCATCATATATTTATCCATGAAATTTTCTTCCAAAGCAATTAATTTACTAGAGGTAAAATATCCAAATGAAGAAAAGGCCTCAACAGTTAACAAAATTGTGATTATACCTAAACCATGTCATGCTAAATTTGTAAGGCCACTATTGATACGTACAAAGGCAAGTAACATTACAGATAACATAACATAATGCCATTTTTAGAACCACATGTTATATCAAGACGTCCAAGGATCTGAGACAGAAAGAGAAAGTTTAAAGGACTAAGATGTGCTGATGTATCCATAGTTGAAAACAACTATCAAAAGGCAGCAGGCATCTGGGAAAGATCTCTCTTTTTAGCTTGGAGGCCAGAGTTATGTTGGCATTGCCTCCGGAATTGGAACAAAACCAATTTTTAATTGGTTTTAAAATCTGAAATGAAACATTCCTGCAGTCATCCATGAACCGACCTTATCCTGTAGAAGTTGAGTGAATTTTGGCCAACCATCTGCCTTATGAATTGTTTTGTTTGGGCCCCTTATGGGACAGAAAGTACTTGTGCACTAGTTTCATATCGAGTTACAGTCCTTCATAATGTTGCTTGAGCAGAGAATTCAGACAGAGAAAAAAGTCTCCAGAGAAAAATTAAATGCCTTTATCAATATACCTTGGGTCTAGAAGAACCTGCAAGGCTGGGAGTTACCATCTACTTTCCTGTACACCTTAGTGTAACAGTTTCAAAAAAGAAGTAAAGCCTATTCTTGGAGAAGACAGACAGCTGGACAAATAGATTGCATTAGTGAAGGCCAACCAAGGTATTGTAAGATTGATTTAACTTAGAATTTTATTAGACTCACTATTGTAACACCAGTGTCTTACACACACAGCCAAATTTCCATTAATTCTGGTTGAACGAATGGAGACTTTTTGAAGTGTGCATATTGTGAAACAAACATAGAATAAAGGATTCTTCTTAACAGTGCCCATGGATGGGGAGATGCTTTCCTCCTCAAATCCACCTTGCCCCCACCACAGAGAAACAGGAATAAGGGAGGAAACAGATTACTCAACAATTCCTGACTCCTAAAACAAAATGGAAAATCCACTGTAGAAGAAGAAGATCATCTAAAGTACCTTGTAAATTTAAAAACCCACTTTCTCGGCTTGGAAATAAGCAAAATAAGTAAGCTTCATCAAGAATTTCCAGTATTTGGGTCTGAATGACTGTCTAAGAAGTGAGAAGGACATAAGGGCAAGAAAACCAAATTTAGCTGTCAAATAATAATAATTAATAATAACAGCTTTTATAGAGAGAATTTTCAATTTTGCGAGAATACTTGATATTACTGGGAGAGGGCAGAGATTAACTCCAGAATGCCCATTGGCATCTTCATTAAGAAGTATAATTTCAAGCTGGAACCCATATGAATGGAGTCCCTCGGACACCATAGCAGCTAGGGAGGTATGTGCTATTTATTTGGGGATTGTAGAGTGGGGTTGGGAGACTCATATTTCAGAGTGTAGAACATATTAGGCCTAAAGTTATCAATGCATTACGTAAACCATATTCTTAATAATTCCTGAAGCATGTGCATCGCTGGGACTAACACATTGCCATCAATTCCAGCTGATCAAGAGCATGACCTGGTGTTATGCTGTAGAGCAAAAAGGGTCTTTTATATTTACTGAAATCAATGCTTCCCCAAATCAGGGCAACAGAGGTGAACCATATATTTCAGTGTAATTTAACTGATAGAACTGGGTGTTTTAGAGTCAGATCACCTGGCTCAAATCCCAGCTCTATTGGTTACTACCTGTATGACTTTTAGCAACTTACTTTGCCTCTCTTTGCCTCAGTTTCTTCATCTGTAAAATAGGGATAATAAAATATCTACCTCATAGCGTTGTGGTGAGGATTAAATGAGTCAACATTTTTAAACCCCAAGAGTGCCTGGTCCGTGGTAAATACTCCATGGATGTTACCTTTTAATATTAATGAAATGTTGCAATACAAGAGACAGAATGTGTGGTGTCACCAATCCAGGTATCTGAGACTTTGATATTCACCTATAACACAGAAGGGCTTTCGGGCAAACCTCAATCTTCCTTGCCATCCTCTGTACCGACAACAGCAACCCGCAGACCAGATTCGAATGATGAACTCCAAACCAAAGACGACAATCATCACGAACTCCTAAAATATCAGATAAGACGTGTCAGAGAGAAGCATTATGGAGGAAACTGCAGCAAGAAGCTCTATGAATATTTTTGGACATTTAGGCATTTTATCTAGAACATCTAGTTGTTAACATCTGAAGTTAAGAACAACTCTTCTCCAAATCAAACTAAACCTGGAAAACATCCGAACCTCATGTTGATTCTCTAGGAATCATGGAATGCTATTCCTTTTGAAGTCACTAACACTTTGCAAATTTAGGAGTCAGTTTCAATACTAAATGCGCAGGCTGCATAATGGATCTGTCCCATCCGGAATTTATAGCGTTACTGACTTTAGCTACATGTGCAGTATCTGAAATGAAATAGCATGGATCCTGAAATATAATGGCAAGTTTTACAGAAAACAGAGCTTCATTTTTGTTGCAAGAAGTGACATAATCCCTAAACCTTCAAGAGTTGTTCTCAGAGAGAAAGAAATAAATATTTAGAAATACACTAAGTTCTTTTGTTACAGTGTCAAAATCTTCTTATAAAAGAGTAAGTTTAAGTAGCATTACTGTGTGTGGCACATATATCGTTTGCCAGAGATGAGACCCTGAATCCTCCAGATCCAAAGCTTGTTAATTAGTATGCTGCCCTTTGGCGAGAGCTGCTAGAAAACAATACCTGCTCCAGCAAAATGACTTTGCGATTGTTTAGGAAGAGTTGTGAGTTAACCCTGGGGAAAGGCCAGCTAAAGTGGCTCATTAAACAGTCAGTCACAGAACGAAAAACGCTGTGAAGGTTAAATTATACTGATACTTATCATACTGATAAGCCACATTTGAACATGTTTCATTATTACATCAATTCAGCTGGAGCACGGATCAGACATGCACATTTAATAAAAGACTGAAAAAATGCGTAGTTATTCTAATTGTAAGTACAAATCTAGTCTTTGTTCTAATGAGGAGTCATCATATATTTATCCATGAAATTTTCTTCCAAAGCAATTAATTTACTAGAGGTAAAATATCCAAATGAAGAAAAGGCCTCAACAGTTAACAAAATTGTGATTATACCTAAACCATGTCATGCTAAATTTGTAAGGCCACTATTGATACGTACAAAGGCAAGTAACATTACAGATAACATAACATAATGCCATTTTTAGAACCACATGTTATATCAAGACGTCCAAGGATCTGAGACAGAAAGAGAAAGTTTAAAGGACTAAGATGTGCTGATGTATCCATAGTTGAAAACAACTATCAAAAGGCAGCAGGCATCTGGGAAAGATCTCTCTTTTTAGCTTGGAGGCCAGAGTTATGTTGGCATTGCCTCCGGAATTGGAACAAAACCAATTTTTAATTGGTTTTAAAATCTGAAATGAAACATTCCTGCAGTCATCCATGAACCGACCTTATCCTGTAGAAGTTGAGTGAATTTTGGCCAACCATCTGCCTTATGAATTGTTTTGTTTGGGCCCCTTATGGGACAGAAAGTACTTGTGCACTAGTTTCATATCGAGTTACAGTCCTTCATAATGTTGCTTGAGCAGAGAATTCAGACAGAGAAAAAAGTCTCCAGAGAAAAATTAAATGCCTTTATCAATATACCTTGGGTCTAGAAGAACCTGCAAGGCTGGGAGTTACCATCTACTTTCCTGTACACCTTAGTGTAACAGTTTCAAAAAAGAAGTAAAGCCTATTCTTGGAGAAGACAGACAGCTGGACAAATAGATTGCATTAGTGAAGGCCAACCAAGGTATTGTAAGATTGATTTAACTTAGAATTTTATTAGACTCACTATTGTAACACCAGTGTCTTACACACACAGCCAAATTTCCATTAATTCTGGTTGAACGAATGGAGACTTTTTGAAGTGTGCATATTGTGAAACAAACATAGAATAAAGGATTCTTCTTAACAGTGCCCATGGATGGGGAGATGCTTTCCTCCTCAAATCCACCTTGCCCCCACCACAGAGAAACAGGAATAAGGGAGGAAACAGATTACTCAACAATTCCTGACTCCTAAAACAAAATGGAAAATCCACTGTAGAAGAAGAAGATCATCTAAAGTACCTTGTAAATTTAAAAACCCACTTTCTCGGCTTGGAAATAAGCAAAATAAGTAAGCTTCATCAAGAATTTCCAGTATTTGGGTCTGAATGACTGTCTAAGAAGTGAGAAGGACATAAGGGCAAGAAAACCAAATTTAGCTGTCAAATAATAATAATTAATAATAACAGCTTTTATAGAGAGAATTTTCAATTTTG